CCCAACACTGACCCCCCCCCCAAAAAAAAATCTGGTGATCCCACAGATTTCCGTTTCAGTAAGCGGACTCCACTGTGCATATATTGTATATAGTGTATGTTTTGTTGAGCTGCATTTGCAAAGTTAAGTTTTTCACTGCTGTTGTAATAGGCAAGCAAATGTCTATGTGTTGTTTGAGGCTACTCCACTCCTAGGTTGACTCAATTGGGTGAAATAATGTAGTTTGTAGGAAATCTGATAGATTATGCAACAAAATTTGAATCCTTGTTCCCAGTCCACACACTGTCAGTCAGTTTGAGGAGGGGGGGGGGGAGAGAGGTGTAGATAGTGAGCTAGATAGAACAAGCCAATCCTATGTCCAGAACGGGGAGCCGAGTGAGGGGGGGGGGGGGGAGGGCAGCCAGATTTTCCTTCAAGGATGGGACAAAAACTACCATTTTGGCGCAATACAACCGAATTCAACTGTAATCTCTAAAATCAAGTGTGTTCATTTTTCAAGGTTGCGAGTCGAATTGTTCTGTGACTTGTAAAGGACTGACGTAACAAACTGGATTGTACTGGAGTTATTTTGAAGTCGTTTGAGCCTTCCCGTTGAAATGGATACATGGTCAGAAATGAGCTCTTTAGCTTTAACGAGTGTGTGGTAAATGTGTGTGTGGCGTGTGTTCATTTTTGTTTTGTTGATGTGCCTTTGACAATTTGCTAAACTGGTACTGAACCAATTTTTATTTGTGTTCAAAGAGGTTCATTTTCATGAATTGGAATTGTTGGCGTGAGTCAATTGTCAATCTATATTTTTGGTGGCGCTTAAATGACCAGAATTGGGTTGATAGTGCCGTAAAATACCTACTCAATCAATCAAAAAAATCTATATTTTTGGTATTGTAGAGCACCTATTCACAATTCAGTCAAACACATCCGCCTCCATTCTCCTGTCCCATGAATGACGAGTATAAATCTGCTGAGGTGCTGCTTTTTCTTTCCTGATCCTTACTATCGTCATGTACCCTCTACTTCTTTTGTATGTTTGTCACTCTCTTGTGACCCGCTATTTCTGGGGTGCTTTGATAGTCGAAGCAGACTTTGTGCTGTTGAGGCTAGAGAGGTGAGCAGAGTAAGCCTGACTTCCCGTTTGGACTTCTCTGTTGATATCTACCCCTTGGCGCTCATATGACCTTATGAAGTTGCGAGTGCCGAAAAGCCTTACTAAAACAATGAGGGGCTGATTTTTCGGAAGAATGCGTAAATGTGGGTTTCTGATGTTGCGGGGATTTTGGCTGATTATTTCGTGGAAATTGTCCAAGAAGGTCACCCTTTGTCAAGGAGGAAAATGTTTGTCTTAGACTGGTGAATGTCTTGGACAGTGTCGTTGTAATATATATAGAACCAAAAAATGCAAGGTGGGAAGTGGTCATTTGTACAGGTGGTTGTCATGGGCAGGTAACCATTAGAACGGGTTTGACTATAGTTTGATCTATTTCACATTGTTCTGTATAATATATATATTATATTAAATAGTCTGATATAAAATGTTTCAAACAATATGAATATGATCCGTCAATTTTCATTCCGTGCACTTGTGGGGTCCGACAAGTTTTGGATATTTTTGGTAGCCAGTTGACACCTCTGGTCAATTCAGCTCACTAATATTAGTAATAATTAATGTGGTAAGTGGATCCCTCATTGGTTAGCCACAATAATAATAATAATAATAGATAGCATTTGTATAGCGCATATCCCCGCTCATCAGCAGGCTCTATGCGCTTTACACTATATTATTACCCCAGCCGACCATAGAACACTCTGAAACATTCTCAGCTTCCCGGGAAGCATACAATATTCAGCGTCTCAATTTCTTGACTCATTCCATAGACTTAACCTGGTGAATTCTAGACCCATCCAAGATGTGGTTGTTGGCTGATTTTTCTTTGAATTCAACTTTTGTTATAAATACGCATAATATATATATGGTTGATGAGTTGACACCAAGTAATCAATCAATCTCTAGCTTTCAAATTCCAATTTCCAACAATCTACTTTTACTTTCTACGTGATGTATTTTTGTGTTTGCATCAGAGTTAGTGTGTGGGTGGTTGACGGGTGCTCTGGTGTGGTTTGCTTCTTCTTTCCTATGAAACATCTATCGTCCTTATCTCCCCTTTTTGTTTTTCTTTGTTTGTTGCTCTCTTGTAACACCTCTAATCTTCTGGCACTCATATGACCTTGCCTTATGCGGTTGCGAGCGCCGTAAAACCTCTCCTACAACTAAAACTAAGAGTGAGCGTTTGTTTATGTGTGAATGGATGCGTGAAAGGGCCAGAGTCAAAGAAGGGAGTGCAATATGTACACAATGGTATGTATTGCGTTTCAAAACAACTTTCCATTTTTATAATTAACTTTTTGTTCCTTTTTTTTCACTGCAGCTTTTCCATTTAACAGATATATGTATTGTTGCATGTTAGTGCTGATTTTGGCACTTTCACAGGTTGTGGTTGTCATAACAATTTTACTAATCGTATTAAAACTGTTTATGAGAAAAACCCTCAAAATCTTCTGAGTTTGCGGGTGGATGGAGGATGCTACCGGTATGTCCTCCTACTTCTTTACTTTCCCTCTGTTATTTCTGTCTGTCTGTCTCTTACTTTTCCACAGCACTGAATGACCATTATTGTGTTGATGTGCTACTCAAGCAAACAAATCTTCCGAGTTGGAGCAAAGAGAAACCTGTCAACATTAGAATTATAACAGCCATTAAACGATTAATGGTGGGGGAAAAAGCAAGACAATTTTTGTTGTTCTTATGTCTGTGTTTTTTACATCAGCATCGACACATTTTAGATCAATTAGGTGGGCTTACACCCTGTCTGTCGTCAGGACCAACACATGCAGAGAGGAATCAACATCGCTGCAGAAAGATTGAGATCATCATCATCATCAATGCCTTTCACCCCTGGCAGGGTATAGGCCACATACAAGCTCCTTCCATTTATCTCTGTCCTGGGCCATCCTTCCTTGCTCGTTCCAAGTGAGCTTCATCTCTCTTATGTCCCTTTCCCACACATATCCTCAATGTCTCTCGTGGCCTACCCCTGCCTCGTGCTCCCTGTGGGTTCCATTGCAGTGACTGTCTTGTGATGTTTCCGCTGGGCTTTCAGAGGAATTGAGATATTTGATCAAAATTCTTCTCACTTGGGAATCGAACTTGGGTCTCTTGCATGCCACGGCAAAGTGCCTAACTTCTACACCACAGACACTAGTGCAAAGCAGTCAGTCAAACCACAAACATTCCTACAGCCAACTACAGAGGAGTTCATGTCGTCGGGGGAGTGAAAAAAAGATCAACTCATCCAAAGTTCAACTTAACCGTTCGGATCTGTTTTTTTAGTTTTAGTAAGTGTTTTACGGCACTTGCAACACAAAACGGTCATATAAGTGCCGAAGATTAGAGAGTAACAAACATAAATAAGAAGGAGGAGAGATAAGGACGATAGATTATTGATAGGAAAGAAGAAGCAAACCACACCAGAGCACCCGCCAACCACCCACTTGGGATCTGTAAAGAAGAAGATGTGCTGGAACCTGAGTAAAAAGATCGACTTAACCGAAAATCAACTCAAGCGAGTTCGACACAAGCGGTGTCGACTGTAGGCTACAATGAACACAAAAGACCCTGCAGTATTTTTTCAAGCTTTAATTAACGGATAGCCATGTTAAACTGAATTCTGACATAAAAGCTCACATAAATAGGATGTATTATTGCACAGCATTTGGTGGTCAAAAGCAACATAAATGATCACTAAATAAGTTAACTTAAGGAAGGCGATGGCAAATAAACGTAGTCTTTAACGTAAAAAGTAAACAGTAATAATCCAGCAACAGAAAGTGGTACTGTAACAACAAAATAAAAAATAGACAACAAATTTGATCCCATTTCCTGCTATGTTCCTGTGACATAGCGACAGTCTGAACCGACGCAGAATCCAGTATCATCCAATCCGATCAGACGAATCACCTGATGATATACAGTCCGTGTGCGCATACATAAATCAGAAATACAATCCATGTCCAGACGCATTAACTCATTAACCGATATTAAACAATCCAAAATGCAGACGCATTATCCAATATCATCCTTCATCTTGAATCAAAACTGAATTCAGGACCATGAAAGAATGATGTGACATAAAGATCAATAACAAAAAAACAAAAATTTTTAAAAATTTTAAAAAGCAAAAATCACATGCACTATGGAATGAGAAGGACAACAGTACTGTACGCAGCTACTTCTACCATTCTACGAACAGGTATATTCCATGTCATGAGCAGCTGAGTTCAGCGAAGGAAAAACAAAGAAGTGTAAAAAAAGAAAGAAAACAATAAAACAACAACAATTGGAGGCTTCTTCTTTCTTCCATCAGTTATAACTATATATATAACCGCCGTTCTCATTCTGTTCCATCTGTCACAATGGTAGGCCTACAATGATTATTAGGTCAAGAAAAAAAAAAAGAGATTCATATTAGACAAAAGTTACACCTGTAATATTTGTTTATACATTTTATACATGTGACCCATTAAGTCCTAATGTCTAACATGTCGCATTTTTACTTTGACCAAATTAAGTCTTTTTATATTTTCATTTTCGAATAAGGTACATATCGTCACCCGAGTACAACGACCCTCTAACCCACACTATGTCAAAAAAACATTTTTTGGTGGGGCTTTTTCGACAAAATGAAATGTTGCTGATTTTGTGTTAAATTTTTAAACATGTAGCTCAATAAACGTCGCCAGTGCAACATTCCGACTTTAAGTTTTTTACAAAAATTGTTAGCTGAATTGATAAAGTTTTTTCCTTCTCCTGTAAAATTTGTTTTTTGTGGGATACAGGGTTGTTGTACTCAGGCGACAATGCCATAGATCAGGGGGTAAATATCCAGTGCACCTCGGTTGAAAAAGAAAAAAAATGTGAGCACATCAATAGAGTTGAAAATCTGTTAAAAACTTCTTTCACAGATATTGGAGGGTAAAGTTGGACAATGACGTCCATAATTATTATTACACTGTCATCATCTTTCCAGAGAAGTACCAAATTTAACTTCGGGCAAGACTTGAATCTTCAGGGTAAAGCATTTCAAGTCCATCTAGGCTAAGCTCAATACTGACCCTAGACAACTAAACAACAGTTTGAGGTTTCTGCACTTTGCAAGGATTTACGACATGTTAGGCAAACAGCAAATATAGGTCACATGTATACATATATTATTATATCCATCGACTGACTGAAAGTTTGGGTGACATTTTTGTGCCCTGAGAAGCATAAAGAGACCATCATGTGTGTGTTTCAGGACACGGCCTAGCTGAAAAAGGTCATGGTCAAGCCCTCATCGACCAATCAATCGGGCCTTTCCATCCATCCAGCCGAAAAAGCCGCTTCCCTTCCCATGAGAAGTAAAATAATGAGCCCCGGAGACACAACCCTTGTATACCCTCGTCTCAATCGTCTCAATCGTCTCATTGCTTATCAGGAACAAATCCAGGGCCAATAGAGCATTATCGAGAGGAAGATGGAGAATGAGAGAGAGTGGAAGATGGAAAGAGAGAGAGTGAAAGATGGAAAGAGAGAGAGCGGAAGATGGAAAGAGAGAGAGTGAAAGATGGAGAGAGAGAGAGCACAAGATGGAAAGAGAGAGAGCGGAAGACGGAAAGAGAGAGAGAGAGCGGAAGATGGAGAGAGAGAGAGTGAAAGATGGAGAGAGAGAGAGCGGAAGATGGAAAGAGAGAGAGTGGAAGATGGAGAGAGAGAGAGCGGAAGATGGAAAGAGAGAGAGCGGAAGATGGAAAGAGAGAGAGTGGAAGAGAGAAAAGGCTGTTAACCCTCCAAGTCCAAGAGCCAACAGCTGATGAAATCGGCCGTACGTTTCTTTCTGTGATGTTCTGGCCGATCTAATTTTAATTGACCGCACTTTGAGTCACTATTTCATTCATTTATCTAGATTTTCCAATTTCACATTATTTCAGCTCCTTAATAAACTAGTTCTACTTCCTTTTTTACCTTTTGCTTTCTGAAAAAGTATATGTTTATGGCCTTTTCTTGCTTGGTTCGTCTATTCTCAAGCATTTTTCTACACAATCCTGTGAAATCATATAATTTCCTCCCAAATTCACAAGCTATTTGTTAGCGACAACTGGAGAGTTAAAGGAAGACGAACAGAGGAAGCAGAGATGAGAGAGAGAACGAGAGAGAGAGAGAGAGAGAGAGAGAGAGAGAGAGATAAGGAGATGAGCAAGCAGGTGGGAAGACGTACAGAGAAGTGGAATAGAGCAAGTGTCAAGTATACTGTACATAGTCACTTGAAAATCCAATAAACTTCTTTAAAAAATGTGTCCAGTCCATATCATATCATTTTGTTTCATAAAAGCATAATAGATACATATGGCTTGAGGTTACATTGTTATCAGGGTGAGATCTCGGAGACAAAAAAAAACGGTCACAGCCCATCCGTTGCATTGAACTGCACATTCATCTGAGGGAGGGGGGGGGGGGGATTCTTAGTACAAAGCAACCCGTAAGCAAGATATAAAATTATACTTCTGAGATGTTTCAACTTTAGTACGCATCAGCACCATCACTGATCTATCACTGATTAGCCAGTTAGTACAAAAATGATTTACTGCATCAACTAAACGTATATAACGAGGTACTCTGTGATGCCAAATTGAGAAAACAATAAATAATAAATTATTTAGTAAATGAAACTGCACCAGTTGAGAACATGTTTTATATCATAAATACAGTAGCACGTTTCCCCTATGTGCATGCAGATCACATGTGGTAATAAATTAATACTGATCTCAATCAAGTAACAAGAAGAAAATGGTTGACTTTATAAAACAATTGTGTTCCTCACGACTCGACTTTAGAACCTTGGTAGTCTTTTTTTAATTTCAGTTTTAAGTTACAGTGCATGGCATGAAACTGTTCCACAGAGTACTTCTGATTCTGAGGAATGAAGCACCGTAGACGGGTAAGGAAAATATACGTAACTTTGTGACTTCACAGAAGCTTGGACAAACCTTGTGCAGAGCAGAGAAAAAAACTACACGTATAAAGGAAGGAAAGATGCACAAGAGGGAAGGAAAAGGGAGGAAAGGGGAAGGGGGTGGGGAGGGGGGAGGGGAGAGAGTCAGGGCTACTGGGAACATGAAAATGACACCAAGCATGTTAATACATGGAAATTTCAATGATACCGACATGCACCATAGTTCCTATCTGTATAAATACAAGAGGAGAAGACTAGATCAACAAAAATTGTACGCTTTTTATCACTTCCTCTCGACCAGAATGAGACGACACAACCACCACGAAAAATGTAAAAACGACGGAACAATACCTCATGCGAGCACAACGCTGACGTGTCCATTTTTTAAATTCAGTCCCCAGGGACCTTTGGCACAATCTATCATGTTGAAAATTAGTAATTGTATCTGCAAATGTTTCACACACCCCCACAGCACAGTTCAAATCATTTAGGAGCCAGACAGCCTGGGCTAAGAGGGATGCAAACTCCCAGCAAACAGACAGAGGTACTCAACAAACAAAAAAATAATAAAAACAACCTCCCCACATAGGACTCAATCTCACATGATCCACGTGCGGTGGCGATGAGCCTAACTGTTACACCACAAAGGCTGGTTTCGACTTGTAAGACCTAAAAGAGATATCATCCCTCGGTGGGCAACAACTTATAAATGACCCCCAAATGCAAACAGACATCTCTAAAGTCAAGAGGCAAACTCCGCACTATTACACATGTCAGAAAACAAAACAAAAAGCAGACAAATTCTTTAAGTCTTGAGTCTTACACAAAGATTAAAGTCTATCAAAATCTCTCATCATATCCTCATACATTTTGAGCCAATGTAAGGAGAGAAGATTTACCTAAAAGATTTACCCTGCTAACACAAAAACAATAAAGACTAGCACGTGCGCAGTTTGAGGTCTGTGTCTTTCTTTTAATTGGGAGGGGTGGGGGTGGGGGGGGGGGGGGGCTGGGCGAGTTGGTAGTAGTGACTTACTTATTCAGAAGCTTTTTCAAACTTCATGATTCTGAAAAAAAACCAACTTTGTGGCATTCAGGAAGTAATTGTGAGGGGTGCTGACAAAATGAGTTACTTCTCGCGATCCAAGAACGGAGATATTGCCTGAAAATCGACACTGAGTCAGATTTCTAGATTTTCAACTGATGCTATTTTCTTCAAGTCTACCGTGCCTTTTATTATTCCATACTTACAAATTGTACAAACTCCGTCTATTACGTTGATGCATCAATTTCCGTAAGACTAAAATCCAAAAAGAGGTAACTCATTTTGTCCGCACACTTCACAATTAGTCGATCAACTAGGTCAAATACAAAGAAATATCCCCAAAATGTAGTTGCCTCAAGGTAATTTCCTCCACTAAATCGTGGTTTCACAACTCTGCCGTTTGATTTTTAAAATTCGTCATTTAGACTCTTTTATCCTTTCAAATACAAAAAAAGAATGAAACTCGTAACAATTTGATAAAACAAAGAAAAAGAAGTCAAATTTTGCACCAGGTGATAACTTCTGGTAGTCACACTTTCCAACTCGGTCAAGAAAAACAAACCTTAGTCACCCCATTAAATGACCACAATCGTCATGAAATAAATCAGCCATTGGAACATTCTGAAGCATTTGCTTCCATTTCTGTCAGTAAACTGTATGACATATCAACTTTGCAACGAGTAGGTAACCATAAAAATTAAGGTTAAATAAATTTGGTCACATTCAGATGAACGTCAGTCGCGGCCTAGTCCATAATACATTGCTGTGTACAATGTTAAATTCTGTTTATGCTAAGAGATTGCGAACACCTTTATCACTAATTTTAGGCTGCTTTAAATTGAGCAGGCCTGCGTCTGGGTGTGAGAAGGGTGACTGGAGAATCTTGGTAAACGAATGCTGTTGAGACAGGTGTGAATGCTGAAACATTGAGCCTTTGCCCGAGCTGCTGCTGCTGCTGCTGCTGCTACACTGGCCGTTTGACGACGGTGACGACGCAGCAATCCTCCCACCACCGCCGCCACTCTTCTCCTTGTTGCTGTCGTTCTTTTTAGCAGATTTGGATCGGGATGGCAGCTCCCCGAGACTGATGTACTGTGGGGACGAGGATATATGGCACTGATATGGATCAGGGATGCTGGCATCCAGGTTGACTTTTTGAGCAGTAGGTCCCTTCACCGCCACGCTCTCGTACTCGTCGGCGTTGAAAGGAAATTCTTGTTTGATGGTGACCCCCATACTTCCGGCCGAGCCGAGCTCTTTCGCCGACTGCGCCGACTGTGCCGACTTGCTCAGAGCCTGTCCCACAGCCGACGACTGGAAGGCAGAGTCAAACGGCGAGAAGGAACCGGGAAGCTGATAGTCAATGTCTCCGTTTTTCACGCCACTTTTCCTGCGGCCGAAGCTGGACTGTCCCTGGGACCAGACGTCCTCCGGGAAGTCCATGCCCTCGGCGCTGGCGATGAGCGCCTCCTGGTATTCCGCCTGCATCTGGATCTGCTCCAGGGTCAGGTCTTTGGAGCACACCAGGCTGGAGCGCGACCCCTCGTCCTCGTCAAGCTCCTTCCCCTCGTCCTTCACCTCGGCCTTGGGTTTCTGTTCCAGGGCGCCCGTCGGAAACACGACCTCCGACTCGTCCAGGGTGGCCAGGTCCCCCCGGAGGTAGTCCCGGAGCTTCTTGAGGCCCAGGTAAAATGGCACTTTGTCCAGGGCTCTGGGCAGCTGGGCACACCTGGCACTGGACGACGGCATCACGTAAAACACCTGGGGAAAGAGGATAAGATAAGATGAGATGACAAAAGATTAAGATAAGGATAAGATTAACCCTATCAGTACGTCGTGTTTTACTATCGTATCCATACAACATGGGGAACTCTGCGCCATCACTTTCCAAAGAGGAAATTTACTTGTTAATTCGGTCCGCACGCTTTGTATAGCAGTCTGTCAAAATGATTTTTTGAGGAATATTGAAAGTTTCAAAGAGATCTTCGCACTAGAAGTATTCTAAAATGTGGAGAATACAACCCCAGTGGTACAAAATGACCCCAGGGCATACGGATAGGGTTAAGATAAGGATAAGATTAAGATAAGGATAAGATTAAGATAAGGATAAGATAAGATAAAATAGGATACGATAAGATAAGATCAGACCAGACCAGATCAGATCAGATAATACACTACTGTCCCTGTGGGATATTTTTTCAGGGCTTTACACAAATAGTTAAAACCCATGTTGATATACATAAACTTTAAAGTTAAGTAAAAAGGTGGTGAATTGAGGAAGGGGTAAAATGTCAGTTATAGTATCCCTTGCTGCTAGCATTTTTTAAATTTCTGTGCCCTAAAATTATCCAAAATGGTGTACCTAAATCATGAATTTTATCATCACAGATTCTTTTTCCAGTGTAGCAGAGATGCCAACCACAAGTAAACCCACAAGTGACAGCACAGAGACCAGTCGGAGTATTGATTAAATTTTATTTGCACGGCAACACAGCGTTTAGATCTATACTGCACAACCAGCATGTCACAAATGTTGCGTTATCAGACTACTGCTGGAAAACTTCTCAGTGGTAACGAAAGCGAAAGTAGATCTTGAATTTCCCGATCGACCCTCCGTGTCACATACACTTCCGCCTGCCGCCTGTCCGGCACTGTCCGCGTGAAAGTGAAACGTACTCTCGGACGGGGAAAAGCTGAACGAATAATATCACATTCGCGACCGGCAAAATTGAACTTATAGACCTTATCGGACTTGGTTTTCAAATATTCCAGTTCTGCGATACTGATACTATTTTGACAAAAGATGGGACTTTGAGATAATTAGGTTTACTCGCCCAAGCTGAATCTCGTATTTTTCGCATTCCAGGATGCGTATTTTTTCATGAAAAGTCGTATTCTCGTATTTTCGGCAAAAAATCATACTAAAATACGTAAAATCGTACTGGTTGGCATCTCTGAGTGTAGGGAAAGTTCTAGTACACAATATCAGCAAAGTACAAAAACTAACGATGTTATAGATATCCAATTGTTGTAGTTATTGACCCAGATAACTAACCACAAAAAAACTGAATAAAATGTGAATAATATGTAAGACAAATAAAAATCAAAATTTTTCTTATTGATATCCAACTGTGCGCTGTATCATTATTCTTTCCATCCGTTCAACACTTTACAGTCACACAGCCAGTAGTGCTGGGCAGCTAGGTTCCCGATTATTGAAAGCTAGGAATCGTAGGAATCGACTCCGAACCCAATTACTTACTTTCTAATGATGTGATTCTTTCCCTGTGGTTACCTGGTTGGCTCCGAACATCTTCAGGATATAAGGATAACCTTGATTTCGGAACATTACGAAGCATCAACTTCTTCTTTTTTCAAAAATAAATTCTTTTGAAATGATAAAAAATAACTGGCAACCGTTGGTCTACGTAAAAAGGAGACGGAACTTAATCGCGGGAATCGGTTCCGGAATCGACTCTTCGCCCAGCTCTAACAGCCAGCAGTACAAAATACCCCATCTGGTCACCCAGCCAGGAGAGCGACTGCAACGGACTTCTCAAGCGGCGCATAAGAGCACCAGGTGACCGGAATGGATCATTTTCACTGGCGCTTTACTGCGCCAAGTGACTGCAAAGTGTTAAAAAGCTACTTATAGGCTACTTGTGCAGTTTGTGGATTACACAGGTACAAAACACCAAGAACAAGTCTGGCTTGTCTCTTCTTACTTTCAAACAATTCTCATCATATCTTCAAAAAAGACTTTCAAAATTGCAGCTCTGTAAAATGTATGAGCATATCACTCCCTTAACAGAGGAGAAAAGAAATAGCTTTTGCAGCACATACAACAAGACAGTCTGCTAGACATCTTGAGATGAAAAAGACAAAATAAAATAGATATAACCTCACATAGAAAGACAAACATTTTGCTACAATAGAGTACATACTGTGTCGCTCCTTTCTAGTTTGTCCGGCTGTTTGCCAATGTGAAAATTTTTGTTTCCGCTGAACACTTCGTAGATGCCTGCGGAAAAACAAGATCATTTTCAAAAACCCTCAAATACAATAAACCTTGAGCACACATTCAAAATTAGCATGTTGACGTTCTACTGTCGGTCATTCAGTATCCAACATATGGGGTAAAATGGATAGGTCCTTCCCCTTAGCACGCAAAAGATATGAGTTGAATTCCTTTATGGGGAAGTCTATACTCATTCTCCTGTTTTACGTTTTAGTAAGAGCACTTGCAATGCAATTAATTAAGGTACGTACATAACTGCTGGAGATTAGAGGTGTTACAAGAGAGTAACAAACACAAAAAAAAGGAGAGATGGGGACAACATATTTGACATGAAAGAAGGAGCAAACCACATCAGAGAAGCCGCCAACCACCTAGATTATTTCTCTGGTATCCCCATCTTTCAGTTGACATCCTATATGTCGCTCGCTCCAGGTAGGCCCCTACAGGCAGAGTTGCAATAGCCCACTTCTCAAACCTTCTTCCAACTAACTTCACATACCTCATATCATGGGTGGTTGGCGGATGTTTTCGTTTTTTTAGTTTTAGTAGAGTTTTTACGGCGCTCACCACTGCATAAGGTCATATGAGCGCCAAGGGGTGGATGTCAACAGAAGTCCAAACGGAGAATCAGGCTTACTCTGCTCACCTCTCTAGCTTCAACAGCACAAAGTCTGCTTCGACTGCCAAGGCACCCCGAAAATAACAGTTCACAAGAGAGTGACAAACATACAAAAGAAGTAGAGGAAAATGACGATAGTAAGGATGAGGAAAGAAAAAGCAGCAGTTCCCCTTATGATGTTCCGGCACAGTTTAGTTTTAGTAGTTTTTACAGTATGAGCATGACACTGATAAATCAGCCCATTTACAATTCTACTGTGCATAAGAACATGCTAATATCTCCCTTTGGAATGGCCTAAAGACAACTTCAGTCAGCAGAGAGAGCATCCTGTAACAACACCCACACTCAAAGATACTGTACAAGCAATGGCCATCTCACCTTTTCCGTTGAACACTGCTATCTTCGGCTTGTATTCCAATATTTTTCTCTTTAGAATTTCTGCTCCTTCTTTGATTTCCACCCTAATAGAATAAACAGCAGCAGAGAGCCATAATTATTGTAACCATAAGATCCAAATATACAGGTCACAATGAATTGTACATTGGTCCAATAAGACCCACATTTCACAACAAACAAATAAAGAAAATTGAAACATATGTGAGGTGTGCTGACAAAATGAGTTACTTCTCGGATTTCAGCCTTATGGAAATTGTTACATCAACTTGATAGGTGAAGTTTGTACAATTTGTGAGCATGGAATAGTAAAAGACGCAGTAAACTTGAACAAAATGGCATCAATTGAAAATTTGTAAATCTTATCCCAGTGTCGATTTCTAGCCGATATCTCCATTCTTGGATCTTTAGAAGTAACTCATTTTGTCAGCACACCTCACATATTATACGAAGAAGTAAAAGCATTTTATTCTGCCACCTCAAGAGAAGAGAAAAAATCAAACATCACACATCTGCTATAAAAGAGAGGAAGAAAATCAAACATCACACCTTTGCCATCTCAAGAGAAGGGAAAAAATCAAACATCACACCTCTGCCATCTCAAGAGAAGGAAAAAAAACCAAACATCACACCTCTGCTATAAAAGAGAGAAAGAAAATAAAGACAAAAAGGGACTCACTTACAAACCAAATGCTCCGAGTGTGAAAAAAGACATAATCCAAACTAAATATGCAAAAATGGAGCCGAGCAAAGGAAGGTTATGACTGCAGAAGTCAAGTATGAAAAAAGACAGTTTAGTTTTGTAAGAGTTTTACTGCACTTGCAACACAATAAGGTCATATAAGTGCCAAAGATTAGAGGTGATACAAGAGAGTAACATATATAAAAAAGAGCGGTTGAAGACACACAGGGCCCTGAGACAGGAAACGTGGCCACCCCACAGACACTTCAAGAGAAGCTGTATGGGTCAACAGAAGAACTGAGCAGGACAGCCCAGTATATCATAGCCATCGGACTTCAAGCGTGATAATATCGAAAACAAAAAGATCTACTTTAATTCATGATAGGTGATATAAACTCGTCATACCTTTTCAGATCAGAGCTCCCCCTTGTCGTCCTGGCACATATATTGGTGAACCCAATGCCAAAATCCAGAAGCTTGAAGTCATCATAAGCGTTCATGGGTTCCGGGATCAGACCAGATAGATAAAGACATTTCCCTGTGGTTGGGGAGAACAATTGTCGTGTCAGAATAGGAATCTATAGCAGCAAAACAATAGTCACAATTTCAACAAATAGGGATATAGATAAAAAAAAGAACCCCTGTAATTATGACAAATTCTGCTAGCAGTAACACTTCCATGAACTCTTGACAATAAATGGTTAACTAAATTTGAAAAATTAGCGATGAAAAAGCCAACCAGTTACTTAGGAGGGACAACATATTGCGACCTCAGTGCTTTCTTGTTGTATCTCCACTGTTTTAACAGTGAAAAGGTGACATCTTATTCAGCTCACTCTTTGTTATGAACGTTTTTCACTGTTATTAAAATGACGATACGACAAGAAAGCACAGGGGTCGAGTTATGTTCAACAAATGTAGCACAAAATATCCCCCAACCCCCCCCCATGCATACAAAAGGGTCAAAAGGAAGTTACAGAAGCTTCTCTACACATTGAAAGGAGCTTTCATACCGCTTACATGTCCATTTCTGAAAGCTTCATACATCAGTTTTAGTTTCAGTACGAGTTTCACGGCACTTGCAACACAATAAGGTCATATAAGTGCCGAAGATTAAAGGTGTTACAAGAGAGTAACCAACATAAAAAAGAAGGAGGAGAGATAAGGACGATAGTTGTTTAATAAGAAAGCAGGAGCAAACCACACCAAAGCACCCGCTAACCACCCACTCATACACAATGCGGTTTCTACTTACAGAAGTGATTCCCAGGCCCAGCATAATGATGGCCGACGTAGGCTGCAAACAAACCAGGGTTAATGCCAATCTGTGAACAGAGAAGTTATCGAGATATGAAGACGGATCAAACCAGTTCATAATAGCTCAACATAACAATATCCTCCAAGGACTAAGTGATACTGAAATAGTTTGTTTTTGGGTTGCTGGGTTGTTTTTTTATTTAATTCAAACAAATTATGTATTTTTCTCTTTATGTCTGTCCCTGCTGGGTTTTTTAAATTTAATTCAAGCAAATTATGTATTTTTCTCTTGATGTCTGTCCCTGCTGATTCTTAACTCATATATAGTTGGACAAAATCATATTTAGAGTAGAGAAAAAGTTTCAAGATATAACATGAAATGTTGGGGGGTGGGGGGGTGAAAAAAACGCTGAGACAAAATATTAATAAAAAGTTAAATCTAACAATTTACAAACTCAATATTAAAGTATCATTCTAATTTTGCCCTGTCTTGTTCTACTCTAGTGAGTTATAACGAGGGGAAATAATCCATCCCATTTTCTTACAGATGCTCTCGTCTTTTCCCACCAGATAACGCAGTAAAAGCATAACAAGTTGTGGTGAGAACAAAAAGTTGTATTTAACAGTGCTAAAAAGTCTGCTTGTCAAGGGGCCATTTATCAGCAGGGTTTGGAGAATTCAAAATAAAGTCCATGAATATTCAACAGGACCAGAGAATCTTAAAACATAATAAGCACACTCTGTCATATGGTAATGTTAGTATGAGCGGTTAGTAAGAACCTAAACCATGAGGCCAGAATCCTTACACTTACAATATCTAATGATGTTAGAGTTAATGTAAGCCTCAACTATGAGGCCAGCACCCTTACAATTACAATATCTAGTGATGTTAGAGTTAATGTAAGCCTCAACTATGAGGCCAGCATCCTTACAATTACAATATCTAGTGATGTTAGTCAGTGTAAGCCTTAATTATGAGGCCAGCATTCTTGTAATTGTAATATCACTATGAGGCCAGAATTCTTACAATTATAATGTCTAGCGATTTTTATGATACAGCATCCTTACAATTATAATATCCAGGTTGTGAGCCAGTCGGTCTGGCAGCAGTCTCTGCAGTACTTCTTCCTCCGGCATGCCATTGAAACGGTCCCTTTTCTTTTTCACTCCCAGAGAATCCGTTGCTGTGTCTTGTTTCATTTTTTTCTCTGGCGTCTTCTTTTCTCCGTCTGGCGAGCACCCACTGAAAGTACGGGAAAAAATACACACATGACTCATCAGTGCTTTCTAGATTCATTAATAATTTGTTTCTTTTTTCTCTTTAAAAAACGAAACAGTAACAATAATACAGCACTTTGAATCGTCATAGCGCACAGCTTCTTTTTTTCAGACAAATACAAATATGTATGCATACAATTAATAATAATAATAATGATAACAGTATAATAATGGTCGTCATCTGGACAGCAAAAACAACATAGCACACACTCATTGTATATATATATATATATATATATATATATATATATATATATATATATATATATATATATATATATATATATATATATATCCCAGCTCAAAATTATGCTTTGTAAACTTTGAAGTTTATTCTTACTCCTACAAATCCTACAACTTTCTAAACCATCAACATCCTTTTAAGCATTAGTGAAAAGTTCCATTTTTCAAAAGTTAAAACATTACCGTACTGAGCATGTGTGTATGAGGTTGTTATTAATAAGACATATACACACACACACACACATATCGATCTTTCTCAGGTGCTTAAGATTACACTGATAATGTGAAGTATTCAATGAAGAATGTGTTTAATTCATAAATCTTTCGGCATTTCACTTTCTCTACGTGACTGAAAAATTTGAGAAAAAAAATGTACACATCCCAAAGAGTATTCTTTCTGCATTTGCCTCTTACTAGCGGTTAGGCTACCGGACTCGGAATTGTGAGGTTGCGGGTTCAGGATTCGAGCCGCGGGCCTGACGTTGTGTCCTTGGGAAAGGCACTTTACATGAATTTTCCTCACTTCACCCAGGTGGGAATGGGTACCCAGTCATACGATATCTATTATTATTTTTCTAATTTTTTTTTTTAAGCACAAAAAACAACAACTTTAGAACAACATAAAAAAAGCAAAGACGAAAAAAAACCCAGCCAAAACTTTAGATTAAAAACTAAATCTTGTCCACTCACCTGTCATCCCTGACTTTCTTTGGCCTCCCTCTCTTCTTGGGCTCCTTCACGGGTGGGGGAGGAACGCCGCTGGACGACTGTGATGTGTCGTCTTCCTCCGCTTCAACCTTGACCTGTGAGGCTGACAGCTCCGGACTGAAACTTAGGAAAACCACACAGCAATTTAAAACACTGGATAGTTATTGTTTTAGTAAGAGTTTTATGGCATTTGCAACACAATGAGCTCGTATAAGTGCCGAAGATTTAGAGGTGTTACAAGAGAGTAACAAACAAAAAAGAAGGAGGGGAGATAAAGACGATAGATTTTTTATTGGAAAGAAGGAGCAAATCACACTAGAGCACCCACCAACCATCCACCTGGAGAGTAAAGTAACTACATAAAAGTAAAGAAAGGCTGAAGGAAGGGGCAAGTTAGAATACGAAGCTTATTATTTGCCTTCTGGTACGTTTTCTGAGATCATTTTAAAAAGTTCAAATTTCAAATCAGCACACGTAAAGTCCAAAAGGTGGCTTCGATGCATATTGATCATATTCCCTTTTACGTTTATCTAGAACTGAGATATTACTAGACATTTGATACAAGTCATTCTATCTTGCAGTCAACAAGAAAGTGAGACAAAGGATGTTGACGGTAGCCAAAAATTGACCTCAACCTGATCCCTCACCCATGAGACACTGATACAGGTAGAAACCTGAATCTAGTCAGTAAGTCAAAAAGACTCTTCAACTGCACCATAAATCCTTTCTGATGAATGTTGAGGCAATGTAAGGGGAAAGAAGGGGGAAAACGATAATTATTATTTCCAAACATTCTTCCAAATCATGCATTTCTGCATTTACCAGAGTGTCCTTCAAGACAAAGCTAACAGGACTCCTGGATTTTTTCCAGTAGTGTAACTTCTTTTAAATCCATTTTTGTTCAGTCCTACAATAAACCACAATGAAAAACACTTACAAGGATGATGTTGTTGATAGGCTGGTGCTGTGTCCTTCATACTGAGGGTAGAACTGGCTCTCATAGTCTTCAGTCACCGCCTCTTGTTTGATTGCGGTCATCATGATCTCTGCAAAGGGAATTTTCTGACATGAATCTAAAGGGATCCCATTCGTACAAATATTTTTTTCGGCAATTTGTAAAAAAATAAAAATAAAAAAAACAAGCAGATCCCTGGATAATTTTAGAGAAAGAAAAAGCAAATTCTGACGGTATACTTATTCTAAAGTAGTTATTTAAATCTTTCTACAAAAACAATGCTTCTGTGATCAGTTTTCATGCTTGAGTAACATCAATTTCACAAATTTATCAAAACAAAAGTAATTTATAAGACACTTATTTTCTTTTTTTAAATTCAAACTATTTCCTTTGTAATAAATCATTATGAGTAGTATTAAAATTCATCCCCCGCCACTATCCGGAACACTTCAAAATTAATGTGGTTTTTTTCCAAAATAAAACTGTTCAGTACAAATATTTTTCAACTGAATGGTATATTATATCTTAGATGGCATTAGCAGGAGACCTAATGTTCTCGTAAGGAAGAGTACCACTTCTAAAATTACATTGCACTAAATTAAATTTTAAACATACAGTCGAACATTTTTTGGAAGGCCACCCATTGTCGAGGAGAAAAGAGGCTGTCTGAAGCAGGACTGATGGACTCATCAAAATGGCATAAATAAGAAAATGAACCATTCCCTTTAGGGAACCCAACCAATGGTGGTTGTAGTCTTCAGCTTAGGACTGTCATAAGGCTTATTCAAAAAATTTTTTTTCCTTTTGTTGGGAGAGGGATAGGAAAAGTTGGGGGTAGGCGGGGTTTTTTTTGGGTTTTTTGGGGGGGGGGGTTGAAGAGCTGGTTATTGTGCAAGGGAAAACAAAACAAAATATATCAGAGTAGGAAGACCAAGTGCTATGGTACAACAAACAAATGGGTCGCCACCACTCAGTGACTGAGCGACACTTCTATTGAAAGTTCATGTTGCCATCCATTGTTATGGACTGGGAAAACAGAGCAACAGCTCACCTCCCTTATGATTTCAGATTTGCGTATGAGCAGAGAGCATGCTTAGTTTATGACAAACCACACACTTCCCCCACCAACAGCTGAAAATTTCTAACTAACAGGTCAATTTAGGTCAATAGTAGGATCCGATATGATCGGTTCATCCATTGGCAAGACTAACAATAATGACGGGTGAAAAGATTATATGACCGCTTGTCCACAGCATCATGGGCGATATAAAATAAATTTATGATTATGATAAAGCATCATGTGATCAGAGATTTGTATGACTATCTTTTGGCTGTTGCTTGATAAAATAAAATGGCCATGGCCACACTAGACAGGTGTTGATTTACCCAGTGCTATTATATGTATAGAAAAGATGCAAGGAGGGAAATTGAAAGTAGCCATTTATACAGGTGCCCATATTATACATGTGACCATCATTCCACATTCGACTGTACTTTAACAGGCTACTATTTAGTGTTGGGGAAAAATTGACAAAGGGGTTCATTACTCGCTGCAGTCAGAGGGAGTGAGTAACAAACAACAATGCAAATGGACTGCAAATCTCAAGACATTTCGTTATTTAGGCCCACTCCAAGGAATTACTCACTCAGCGGGCGGGCGAACAGACGAACTCTAGCAGACAAGATACTTGACCTGAGGTTAGGCCTATCATCTATTCTTTGTGACTGTTTCAAGCCACTTACAGTGCCACAGGGAGTGAGAGGCTAGTGATGAAGCATTGTCACTCATTGTAAGGTCAGGGCCTACATAAAAAAACCCCACAAAGAACGGCATCAACTATGTAATACCACTATGATGAGAGCATTTATTATGTATGCGTGATTGTCCTTTGGGGGAGGGGGAGGATGGTAGAATAGATTATATAATAAACGTGTGTGAAAGTGAAAGTATCTATAACATGACATATACAGCTGGTACATGATGTAGTAGTTAAGTAGTTAGTAGCAGCATGTACTGCCAGGGAGTCTTTCCATCTACCCGCTCACTAATCAAACAGCTGTCCGTGCCAGAGGTGTAACTGCATGAATCTTCACAAGTAGACAGTCTGTTAAATCCATCTCTGTTCCTTTGCGAGAATTACCAGAAATCCGATTGCTCGCAGACGCTAAATAAGCGAGCCTGAAAAAACACTACTTTTTCTCTTACTACACGCTCTTACTTTAACCTTTTGCCACTCGGAGGCGCCGATGTGCGCCGTCATCGCTAACCCCCGCAGTCGCCGATGTGCGCCGACACGCCCACTCGATTCACCCGTTCGCACTACTTTCGTTTCTACGTTGTCTCGCTTCCTGCGAGGTCGCACGAGATTGCCGAGCTTATAGCGAGAATCTAGAGTGGTTGCCCTTTACTGTCGTGTTTATTTGGTGAAAATCGATCGAAGCACGCGAGAGCGGCGATTTTTTTAATTTCGTGCTTTTTAGAGACCTAAATCTAACTTCGTGGATGAAATTTTGCGTCGCCACAGGCACTGTAAACGACGGAGACACTTATAATTGGGATTTAAATGCCGATATCGTCGACCAAGGGGCTAGATCTAGTGCTAGTAGTACAAGTAGTCACTCGGACACTCAGTCGTGAAAGAGAGAGAGAGCGAGAACTATAGTAGGAGAGCGAACACGATGTCGCAGGTCTAGATCTAGGCTCTAGGGGGAGGGGAACAACTATGATAGTGATGTTGATGGTGAGATCGTTGCTGGAGGTGATGATTTAGAAGACTGATGAAGAAGATAGGCCTAGCACCCACAGCTAGATCTAGAGATCTAGTACTACATACTTGCTGCACTACGACGACGTAAAAAAGGGAGGAGCAACACTGGGACTGTGGGCTCTGTCACAACAAATCCTTTAGCGCATGTTGTGATCAGGATACATGGTAAAAAGGGGTCATGCCACTACTGTGTAAAGACCAGAAACTTTACAAAGCTAGGCAGAGGGAGTGAGACAGTGACAGGATGCCATTTGGGCCAGGTTAGGCCTTGCAAAAGGCTGTTCTGGGTAAAACATCATGAACTTCTGCGGGCAAAAAATGCGGGTTGTGTCTTTTGGGGGGGTTTTTTTCACTTCAGAATTTTTTTTTACCTAGTACACAATGATTTTTCGTACAAAACCATACATTTTCTTGTAGTTTATTCATTTATCTGTGCTCTGACACCTAACCTGTAATTTTAGACTCATTCTCTGATTTTTAATGATTTTTAAAAATAATATAGTCATGCAGTCTAAGCGGAGTTAGGTCCCTTTTGCCAGAATTTCAGCCTTGTTGGGCAGGGATAGCTCTGAGGGTGAAAGGGTTAAGGGCAACACTGAGGAAGAATTGGAATTATTTTATTTTTACTCCTGCAAGACTATTTCATAGCTGATTCTTAGCACTTTTCTTGTTGCTTTGTATGCCTCTCTATCCGTTTTATACAATTTCAAATTTACATTTTCTAAAGGAAATTATTTATTTATGAAAATTTAATTCTTTTATGTGAACTACCGTATATTAAACTTAGCCTAACTGCGTAGTACTAGTAGTGAATATAGACCCTTTCGAGGACAGTTTTCGAGACCACTGCTATTACTGCCAAGCCATTAGCCATTGCACAAAGTTAATTTTAAGGAAGTGGCTATGAGAATAAAAATACGATTGACCTCTCATCCCAGGTGAGACTTGCCAGCATTGGCTATTCTCACCCGGTGTGAAACAAGACCTGTTTTTCCTAATCTCTAAATATTGTCCATTGGTGTGGAAGATCAAATTGACAAAAGCAAAGAAAAAAATTATGAAATAGCTCGACAGTAAACTAAATTGGTCGTCTACAAAGATCATGCTACAGCTATTTCACTTTTCGAATCGAGCCTAACTATGCGTGTCGCCATTTTGTTTTGCCCAGAAGTTCTCGCTTGGCCTACTCCTTCTCTCTCACTCTCTTTCTGAATACTGTCTATCGGTGTGGATGATCAAATCGACAAAAACAAAGAAAAAAATAATGTTATAGCACAAATGTAAATTAATTTGGTCGTCTACAAAGATGCGATGGCTATTTCACTTTTCGAATTGAGCCGAACTACACGGGTCCCCATTTTGTTTTGCCTGGAAGTTCTCGCCACTGATGATCTCCTCTTCTCCCTCTCTCTCTCTCTCTCTCTCACTGCCCGCAGACAAAATTGCACGCTTTCAACACAAGAGCGCTGGAATGTTTGTTCACGGTTAATGCTGCACAGGTTGGACTATCACGGTGAACGCACACCAGGTGAGAATAATAGAGGTGGCCTAATGTTAAAATCATTTCATGACTCACAGACACTCATTAAATTTTCAGTCAGAGACCTCACAACAAACCACTCATGTAAAACAGTAAAATCTGTTCCACAAAATGCTTTTCCACTTTACATAGAATCTAGTGTACTGGAAGTGCAGTGCAGCTGAGAATGAAAAGAGAAAAAAAGAGCAATATTAATATTAACATGGGCCTTCCTCTGCCTCAAAAATTCAGGAGGGTCTTTTCTGGCTCTTCTGCCGACTGCTAGACTAGATGACTAGAATGTTGGGAAAATTTGCACTAGACAAGCGCTAGATTTTATTGTAAAAATTACTTGATCGACGTTGCTACGCACGTGAAAATGAACTAGAAATAAGTTGAGGACTAAGAAAAAACTGCTCCAGACCCAGACCAGACACTTTCCATCTTGAACATCCAGATCTTTCCGAAAAACTGCACCAGCCAAATTGGAGCGAAGACTGGAATCCACCATCTCGTAAAACCAACCTTGCATACGTATGATTAGGAGAATTCCGATCAAATCTTGCTTCTAACTGTTAGTCTGCTGAACATTCATTTCATTTTTAAGCCTCTTACCCAAAAAGGAGACCCTTGCTGGAGATCAGCACCAGATTTTTGATGTATACTTCTCGGCCCCGTCGGCCCGGCCCCTTCCCCTTTGTGTTGTTTACTATGTATCTTGCTGATGAGGTAACAACAAATATCATTGGTTATTCGGACAGATTTAAAGCAATCAGCATTGCTGTAACATCAGGGATAAGAGAGCTCTTTTGTTTTTAGAACAAAAATCTCCAGCACCTTCACCAGCTACATTCGCATAAATTATTTTTAATAAAAAAAACATCACGTTGATTCAGCAAAATGAAGCTGTATCGTTTCTGTTTTCTCTATAAAGAATTCCTTGAGATTTGGACAGTGGAAATTTTGTACATATAAGGTTTTTTACTCTTATTTTCAGCTATCTTAACCTGGGGATGTTTTCGAGATGTTTTCCAGGAAAGATTGAAACAGAGCGTACCAAACTAGGCTAAGAAGACATGTAATTACTGTGTGAAGCTTCCCCAATCTCCTCACCCTATGACACACACAAACACACACACTGACACATACGCACAGTTGGCGTGAGTAGACATGAAATGCGATGCCACTAGATAAGATCTTATTGGACATTACTTGAGCTTGATAAGCATGGTGAGGATTTAGAAGAAGGAAAACGAAGAGAAAGCTGAAAAGAAACGAAGACTTTATGTCCGTCTAATTACTCAATAAATATAATAAAATGCTGAACTGGTCGGTACGATTAGCGTGGTGTCAAAACAAAACAAAATACATGTGTATATAAATCATAATTTTAGCAAAGTAAAAGTTTCTTAGCGTCACCTGATTAAACACACACACACTCACCATCGTGCACACAAACAGTCGAATAAAAAGCAGCAGAGACATCACATGTATGTGTATGAGAGTAAAGGAGAGGTACGTGTATTTCAGAAAAGGAAACAAAAGTAAAGGAAGTGTGTATTTGTGTGTGTGTGTGTGTGTGTGGGAGGGGGGGGGTAGTTATCATTATATTCGAAGTGTAC